TTTTTTTTATATAAAGGCATGCTTTTGAAGTGAGATTTAGATTCTACAATTGAATTTAATTATAAACTAAAGAAGGATTGACCAGCTCAATTTATTAATTAGATTAATTAATTCGGAGAAAGACGTTTTAATATGTGTTTTTATTAGGCTTCTATTTCTAATAAAGATTGGGGATATTTTTGGTTGTTTTGAGACTGTTTACTTAGAGAATCTGTGGAGAAGCATGTGATAATATGAGTGTGATGCAGATCTAGAAACAATATGGATGTAAATTTAGCTGAATCGAGGCGTTCCTCATGTCTAAATGTACCCCTTGGCTCAATTTTGATTAATGAATCCCAGTGGGATTCGATTCACTGGTTTAAATTGAAGTTCTTCATAGTTCATATAGAATCCAGTGCAAAATCACATGTCTTGACCGTCCAAGACAGCTTAATAGTTCAAAGTCTGATTCTAATTTGGTCGTATGATGGGTTGAGAGGCACTGGCATTTTTCCCGCACTTGAGTTCTAATACGAGTCTGAAATGATTTGGAAGTTGATTTTAGCAATTGATGCCAGTTTCTTATTGAAATAATTTGAATTTGATTGAAAATTTTAGGATATAAGATCAAAAAGAAAGCGTTTAGAGAAAGTTGAGTTTCAGATATAAGCAACTAGAGAATATGCCTGCACAAAAGATCGAAACAGGTCACAACGACGTTGTTCATGATGTATCCATGGATTATTATGGAAAAAGAGTGGCAACAGCATCATCTGATGTCTCTATAAAAATAATCGGTGTCAGCAACAATTCTACTTCTCAACATCTCGCTACTTTGATTGGGCATCAAGGTCCAGTTTGGCAGGTAGCTTGGGCACACCCCAAATTTGGCTCGATGCTTGCTTCTTGTTCTTATGATGGTAAGGTCATCATCTGGAAGGAAGGAAATCATGGTGACTGGTCTCAATTTCATGTTTTCACTGACCACAAATCATCTGTCAACTCTATTGCTTGGGCACCACATGAGCTGGGACTCTGTTTGGCTTGTGGATCGTCTGATGGGAATATCTCAATCTACACAGCTCAATCAGATGGTGGTTGGGACACAACGAAAATTGACCAAGCACACCCCATTGGAGTCACATCGGTTTCATGGGCCCCTTCAATGGCCCCTGGTGCTTTAGTTGGATCTGGGCTTCTGGATCCTGTTCAGAAGTTGGCGTCTGGTGGCTGTGACAATACAGTGAAGGTGTGGAAGCTATATAACGGTAATTGGAAGATGGACTGCTTCCCTGCTTTACAAATGCACTGCGATTGGGTGAGAGATGTTGCCTGGGCACCAAATTTGGGGCTTCCAAAATCAACAATTGCCAGTGCTTCACAGGATGGTACGGTGGTCATATGGACTTCGGCAAAAGAAAGCGATCAATGGGAGGGTACAGTTTTGAAGGATTTTAAGGTTCCTGTTTGGAGGGTCTCATGGTCTCTGACTGGGAACTTGTTGGCCGTGGCTTCTGGTGACAACAATATCACATTATGGAAAGAGGCAGTTGACGGGGAGTGGCAAGAGGTCACCACCGTCCACTAGTAGAATTATCTAGAGAGAGAAAGAGAGAGGGAGAGAGAACCGGGTGTATCCAGGTTCATCTATTTTGTTTGTCTATCTATACATTTTGGGATATTTGAGTTATATATTATTAGTTTTTCTGTAGTCTGAAATTCATTGTACCTTGATCCTTTTGTTTGTATTTGTCTTTTCGATTACATCTTAGCATCCCCCGTTGTTTATTGGTAATGACTTGTGATTTCTTATTTCGGAGATCACTGTAGATTTAGCCCTTGTTTGGTAGAGGATTAAAGTTAGATTTTTAGTAAATTTTGATAGAAGTTGATGAAGTGTATGGTTGAAAATTCATGGGTTCTATAAAATATGTGATTAAAATTAATTATTGA